TACCAAGATGACTCAAAGCCAAGCTATAATCTGTTTAAGGGTCATTTACTTCCTAGTCAACCTTACTCCTCAGGTGCAGCATTTCAACAGCCCAGCCCAAAGTAAGGCATTTATAGGTCTCTACCTTGGTGGCATAGCGGTTAAGAGTTCAGCTGCTAACCAAAAGGTCAGCAGTTTGAGTCCATGAGGTGCTCCTTGGAAACCCTATGGGGCAGTTCTACTCTGTCCTTTCGGGTCACTACAAGTCCAAATCGACTTGATGGCAATGTTTTTGTTTTTTTTTTTTGGGGGGGGGGTACCCTTGGCAGGAGAGATCTTGTGGCACAGTGGTTAAAGTGCTTGGCTGCTAACCAAAAGGTCAGTGGTTTGAACCCACCAGCTGCTTCGCAGGAGCAGTCTGCTTCTGTAAAGATTACAGTCTTGGAAACCCTATAGGGCATTTCTACTCTGTCCTATAGGGTCACTAGGAGTTGAAATCGCTCAGCTGGCAGTGGGTTTCTCTCTCTCTCTCACCTTCTCTGGGTTACCCTTGGCAGAGGAGCCCTGGTGGTGCAACTGTTAAGTGCTTGGTTGCTAACCAAAATGTCCGTGGTTCGAACTCCCTAGCCGCTCCATGGGAGAAAGATGTGGCAGTCTGCTTCTGTAAAGATTTCAGCCCTGGAAACCATATGCAGAAGTTCTACTCTGTCGTATAGGGTTGCTAGGAGTAAAAATCGACTCAACGGCAATGGGTATACTTGGCAGACTCAGGACTCCAAACTCTTTCCCCTTAATCTTAGGAAAATCCAAAATCGCAGTTTAGCTTCACAAACATCATGAAGATAAAAGCCATCCTAAGCGCTGGACTCACATCTCTGGATTCTTATTCTTTCCCAGACCTCAACCTGTTAATTCTGTATTATTTTGTTAGCTCTCTGATGTCCCCTAAGAAGTTCTTTTTAAAACATATTTGGTCTAGCTTTATTTAGCTGGCTTAATAGAAGGGTCTAGAAATGAATTTGTCACTACTACAGGCAGAAGTCCTTATGAAAGATCGGGATATTTCCGCTTAAGTTGGCATTAGAATATTTAAGTAGGAACAACAATTTTACAGTATTTCCATTCTGCCATTTTTCCCATTGAGGATTTGACGTATCAAAGAGCTGGGCTTCTTAAACTTTAATTTGCATTGGAATCACCTGAGGATCTGGCTAAAATGCATTCTGATTCAAAGATCTGAGGGGGTGGGCAGGAGAGTCTGCATTTGTAAGATGTGCCTGCTTGATGCTGATGCTGGTGGGTCCTTATGTAACAAGACCCCAGACTCCTCTGGTCTCAAGCCCTTTACTTTTTACCTGGGGAGAATAGATTGACCCTGGAGTATATGTTCATTACACCTGGAAGGCAGGAGAGGGTTTGCCACACAGATAGCAATGTGTGCCAAATCATTTTCTTTCCAGCTTGTTGGGAACTGGCAATAGGTTTTAAGACTTATTTCAACTATTGTATAAAATGCTAGGAGACCCCCTGGCTTGTAACTTGAGCACTCTTAGAATAGCAGATCTGGTCCAATCACCTCATTTAACAAAGAGAGAAACTGGAGGAACTCAGAAGTGACTTTGATTATGCTAGCAACAATCAGACAGCTAGCTAACTATCCAGGTTACCAGTTTAGTGCTCAGTTATAGTCTCTCTATTCAAGAAATCCTTGGCACATCTGTATTTCTTTTGGAAAACAGACTGTAAATTAGAGTAAATGTGTTATCTGGATGCAGTATCTTTCTGGAATTTGAACCAAAAGTAAAAATGGCAATTGTAAGGCAAGATGTTGATTCAATACTATGTGGTTAAATCCTTTGTGAAACAAGTTGAATAATAAATATAAATAATATAAATGAATAGTCTCTGTTATCTTCCAGGATCTAATACAATGACAGATAATGCATGGCAATAATTGATAAGCCTTGACTGAAATCATGAAAAAAGTACCAAACACAAGGCACAACAATTGGTCTCTATTTGCCTGGAGCAACAGAGGAAGAAGGAGAGTCAGGAATAACCAAACAAACCCACTGCCATTGAGTTCATTCCAACTCATAGTGACTCCACAGCATTTCCAAGGCTGTAAATATCAATGAAAGCAGACTGCCACATCTTTCTCCCTAGGAGCCGCTGGTGGTTTTCAGCCACTGACCTTTTGGTTAGCAGTCGATCGCTTTAACCACTGCACCACGAGGGCTCCTGAGAGTCAGGAATAGAAGGAGGAAATGGAATACGTGGCTAATTGCCTCCATGAACAACTGCCTCCTCTGCTATGAGACCAGAAGAAATGGATGCTGCCCGGCTACCATTACTGAACATTTTGACCAAAGATTATACAGACATATCCTGATCAAAAGGGGGAAAATGTAGAACAGAATTTCAAATTCCATGGACTCCAGATTTTCTGGAGTCATGGAGGCTGGATGAACCCCTGAAACTATTGCCTTGAGATAATCTTTAAACCTTAAACCAAAAATATCCCTGAAGTCTTCTTAAAACCAAACAATAGTTTAGCTTAACTAGTAAAGAATGTTTGCCTTGAGCATTGTGCTCTTTGAAGAACTATCTATGTGGGATCAAACTGACAACAGCAACTTGAAAGATTAGATAGGAACCTTAGGGTGCAGTGAGTTTATGTTAATGGGAGATGAACAATTCAGAAAAGGAGGGTGAGAATGGTTGCACAACTCGAAAAACATAATCAATGTCACTAAATTGTATATGTAGAAACTGTTGAATTAGTGTATGTTTTGCTATGTATATTCTCAACAACAACAAAATAAATAAATTACAGTAAAACTTGTGAAAGCCAGAAACTGTGTAAGGCAGAAATTTGTCAGAGAAGGAAACTCTCTGATTTTTCACTAAACCAAGAGGTAGAAAAATGGTAAGAATGCACCCTGTCAAAGGTGGAAAACTTGCTAGACCTGGAAAACAAGGCAGTCTCGTAGAGTTCTGGTTCTCCCAGTTTTCACCATATATTTTTTTTTAAAAAAAGTATCATACAAGGCACCATAGCAGAGCATACAAACAAGCAAGACAGTGTGGAGGAGAAATGAAGGATTCCATCAATACACACTTTGAAAAACACTAGTTACTACACTCAGAAGTCTGCTTTTTCCATGTTAGGCCAGCCATCCAATTGACAGACTCAGCATGTATTCCCATGCTTGAAATGTTGATTCCAACTCCATTCCCATTTAACTAGCTCTTCTCTAAGAGGTTTGAGTTAAAAGCCATGGAGATTGCTAAAAAGCAAGCACAACAAGGCAGAATTCAAAGCTACCATCTGCTATCTAATCTACCCTCTGTATGAATCCCTGGGTGGTGCAAAGAGTTAATGTGCTCAGCTGCTAACCAAAAGTTTGGAGGTTTGAGTCCACTCAGATGTGACTTGGAAGAAAGGCCCGGCAATCTACTCCTGAAAAAAATCAGCCATTGAAAACATTATGGTAGATTGCTGAGATGGCATTATGTTTTCTTACATATATTTTCACCACAATAAAATACAAAAAAGAAAGAAAGAAAACCCTATGGAGCCCAGTTCTACTTGACACACATGGGGTTGGCCTGGTTACTGGTTACCCTTTGTACAAGTAGCCAGATAATAGCCAGAGAATACAAGGAAGAAAGCTTTAAGGCCACATGTCACTATTGATTTGAGGGTGGGGATAAAAGTAAAATATCGGGACATTTGCCTTTGGGAACATAAGTATTAATCCTTCTCATGAATAGGAAAAAGAGAAGAAATGAGATTTGAATTGAGAAATGAGATTGACTGGTGTGTGGGTCAATCAGGTCAGCTTGAGAAGCTTTAGGCTTTGCTACTTAGTGGTTAGTGTGAGAAAGCGCTCAGAGATCTTAAAAAACAAATACTGGATCTCCTCCTCCCCCTTCAATAAGATGGGGAAATTGAAGCCCAAGACCGGATAATGAGATCAGGCAGAGCGACAGCAGTCTCCAGGCCTCCATACTCCCAGTCCAACTTGTCACACAGCAGTTGTGAGCCATTTGTCAAAAGTGCTGAGGAAGAGAGTCATGTAGGGGAAAGTATCTGGCACAACAGTGAGGTGCTGAAATCCACCAAATCTGAAGAAGAAGAGTAAGGGTGGGACAAACTGGGAATTAGCACACAAGAAAGCTGTTGTGCCATCACCGCAGGAGACAAATTCACTGAGTCCTTTGTAAAACAGAGACATTGATCAGACCCCACCCACACCCCCGGCCCAGACCCAACACACACACCCACACACACCCCCACACACACACACCCCCACACACACACTCTTAGTTCCTTTCCCAACTCTAGGGTGAAGGGGTGGGGGTCTGCAATGTGCCAACGTCTCAGGCACCAACCGAGCGGCACGGGGCAGGCAGTGCGTCCCGGGCAGCCAGAGAGCAGCCTCCGGAGGTGTGGGCTTCTTTTCCCTCGACGAAAGAGGAAGACGGAAAACCTCTAACGATTTAAAACGGCGGCTCTCTAGCGGGCCCTGCCTCACCCCGAAAGCCCGTTCTTGGCCCTGCAACCAAAGATCCCGACTCCCAAGGCCAGGTGGGGCCTGGAATCTGCATTTCTGACGAGCACCCAGGTGATGCCGACGCTGCCGGCCGAGGACCTCACTAAGGGTCCCTGGACCGAGAAAATCCAGAGCCGGTACCCAGAGCAGCGAACTGCTGGCAGCTGCGGGCGTAGGTCACCTGGGAAGTGCTTGGTGCTGGGGCGCCCCCCACCCCTGGCCAGACGCTCCTTCCCCCGCCCCTAGTCTCTCCAGAAAGCTGTCACGCCGCCGGCACCTCCGCCTCCTTCAGAGTCCACCGGGCACTCAAGAGTCTTGGCCGAGGGGCGGATAGAGACTGACAGACCCGGGAAAGACGCGCGGACTGACAGGCTGACGGCCGCCCCCACCCCGGCGCCCAGGTGGGCGACTGGAGCCCGCGGCCCCTCATGGCCCCTACTTGGCCCGGGCCCTCCTGCCTACCTAGGCCCAGCATGTAGCCCTCGAAGTTGTCGCTGCTGAGCAGGTTCCAGGTGCTGCTGAGGTCGTCGGGCATGGCGGGTCTGGAGGCGACGCAGACGGGCGACAGCGGGGACTCGGCCCTATATGCCGCCCGGGTCGGGGTGGGGGGCGGGACCGTGAGCGGGGCCAGAAGGCCTGAAAGGAGTGGGAGGCATTGCCAAGGAACACCCCTTCCTTCTGATAAGGACTTTGTTAATAAAAAGAGGTGCTATTTTGGTTCTGTATTTGTTGCTTATTTTCTAGTTGGTTTAGAACTTGGACAGGGAAGTACTTGGGCTCTCTTAAAAAACCTCCAAGAGTCATCTCCTCTGAACAGCCTTCTGATATACATTTACTCTGCCTCACATCTCTGCTAGCTTTCTTCACAATTATCATAAAACATAATTATCTTTTTTTTTTAACTTGTTTGTTGATTGCCTTTCTTATTAGAATGTAAGTTTCAAGCACAGAGACCATGTTCATCTCATTCATCATTACAGTATCCCCAGGGCCTAGCACACTGCCTAGCAAGTGGTAGGTGCTCAATAAACGTTTGTTGAATGATTGAATGAATATGACCTTTTCCAAAGGAGAAATGCCATTTTATTGAGTGGTATCACCCTGTCCAGAACGAGGCTGTTGGTTCTTCTAACTATAGACATTGATTTTTTTCAGTGGAATATGACAAGCTAATATAAAATTCTGGGATTAGAATATTCCTTGTCATTTAAAGGACACATAACTATGAACTCTGACCAGATTTCTGGAGCATGAAAGCTGTTTAAATTCCAGGTGGCTAAGGAAACAGGACATGGAGAATTCACATTTACTTCCTATCCCTAAAATCTTATTGTTCTAAAACTTGGCCTGAAAATGAAGTTCAAAGAAATAACTGATAACCTTTTTAAGATTTGTGTTTGTTAGTATGGCTTTTGGCCAGCTTGGGCAAGGCCCATCTATTATGCATGAGATTGAATAGCAGTTGAAGTGGACATAGACTGGATTTGCCTATACAATGAGCAGTAATTTTCTCCTCTACAACCCGAAGATCTATCTTCTAGACAAGGACCAAAAGTTTTCTCTGGAAAGGAAGGAAGGGAGAAAGTTATTTGGCCACATTCAAGCCCTTCTTTCCTTCTGTTTGATACTGACAAAGTAAACCATAAAATTATAGCCAAGATGATGTGTTCGCTTCGGCAGCACATATACTAAAATTATAGCCAAGATGACTAAGCTTGTGTATAAGCACAAATCCTCCTGGAGAGTGATGGATAGGAATTGCTATCCCTCGTCATACTGGGATAGGCACTTGTAGTGGGTCTGTTCTTCTATAACTTGATGGAGTCTGATAGTGGTCCAGCAAAGAATGGAGTGAACACTGTGGTGGACTTCACACCATCCATACCTCCCTCCCTACTGCAAGGAAACAACGCCATCAAGGAGCTTGGCCCAGTTCCAGGGGTATTGTTGTTAGTTGCCATCAAGTCTGCTCTCATTCATGGCATCACCATGTAAAACAGAATGTAAATTGCCCAGTCCTGTGCTATCTTCATGATCATTGGTATGCTCAAGTCCATTGTTGTGGCCACTGTGGTATTTTGAAGTGCCTTCCTATCTAGGGGATTCATCTTCCAGCACTATATCAGCCAATATTCTATGGTGACCCATAGGGTTTTCACTGGTTGATTTTCAGAAGTAGATCACCAGGCCTTTCTTCCTAGTCTGTCTTAGTCTGGGAGCTCTGCTGAAACCTGTTCACCATAGACAACCCTGCTAGTATTTGAAATACCAGTAGCATAACTTTCAAAATCATAGTAACACACAAGCAACCACAGTACAATAAACTGACAGATAGGTGGTGGGGGTAGTTCCAAGGATAGACCCAAATTAATTTAAGGCTAAGCCAATCACAGAAATCCTGTCTCCTTGGCCAGTGATTGATTTTAGGGATAAGCAGGTTTAAACTAATTTAAATCAGCCGGTGAGATATGATGAGAAGTTTAATGGGGCTGCCGGGAAAGATGTTTCTCTTATTTTAACAGAGCCATGGGAAGCCAGCCCTTCCTCACTTCTGAACATGAGCAAGGAAGCCTTCCTACTGGTGACTATCCTACACCTCAAGAGGCAGCAGATTTAGGACAGCAGAGTGCTGTTGTTGTTAGGCGCCATGGCGTTGGTTCTGACTTATAACAACCCTATGTACAACAGAACCAACCACTGCCCGGTCCTGCATCATCCTCACAATCATTGCTATGTTTGAGCCCATTGTTGCAGCCACTGTGTCAGTCCCTCTCATCGAGGGTCTTCCTCTTTTTCGCTGACCCTTTACCAAGCATGATGTCCTTCTCCAGGGACTGGTCCCTTCTGATAACACGTTCAAAGTACATGAGACGAAGTCTCGCCATCCTCACTTCTAAGGAGCATTCTGGCTATACTTCTTCCAGGACAGATTTGTTCATTCTTTTGGCAGTCCACGGTATATTCAATATTCTTCGCCAACACCATAATTCAAATGTATCAATTCTTCTGTCTTCCTGATTCATTGTCCAGATTTTATACACATATGAGGCGACTGAAAATACCATGGCTTGGGTCAGGTGCATCTTAGTCTTTAAAGTGACATCTTTGCTTTTTTAACACTTTAAAGAGATCTTTTGCAGCAGATCTGCCTAATGCAATACATTGCTTGATTTCTTAACTGCTGCTTCCATGGGCGTTGATTGCAGATCCAAGTAACATGAAATCCTTGATAACTTCAATCTTTTCTCCGTTTATCATGATGTTGCTTACTGATGCAGTTGTGAGGATTTGTTTTATGTTGATGTGTAATACTGAGCTATAGTCTTTGATTTTTTATCAGTAAGTGCTTTAAGTCCTCTTCACCTTCAGCAAGCAAGGTTGTGTCATCTGTATATCACAGGTTAATGAGTCTTCCTCCAATCCTGATGTCACTTTCTTCTTCACATAGTCCAGCTTCTCAAATTATTTGCTCAGCATACATACTGAACAAGTATGGTGAAAGGATACAACCCTGAAGAACACTTTTCCTGACTTTAAACCATGCAGTATCCTCTTGTTATGTTCGAATGACTGCCTGTTGGTCTAAGTACAAGTTCTGCATGAGTACAATTAAATGTTCTGGAGTTCCCATTTTTCCCAACGTTATCCATAATTTGTTATGATCCAGAGTCAAATGCCTTTGTATAGTCAACAAAACACAGGTAAACGTCTTTCTGGTATTCTCTGCTTTCAGCCAAGATCCATCTGACATCAGCAATAATATCCCTTGTTCCACATCCTCTTCTGAATCCAGCTTGAATTTCTGGCAATTCCCTATTGATGTACTGTTGCAACCGTTTTTTAATTATCTTCAGCAAAATTTCACTTTCGTGTGATATTAATGATATTGTTCAATAATTTCTTCTTTCAGTTGGATCACCTTTCTTTGGAATGGGCACAAATATGGATCTCTTCCAGTTGGTTGGCCAGGAGCTGTATTCCAAATTTCTCAGCATAGATGAGCAGACACTTCCAGCATTGCATCTGTTTTTTGAAACATCTCAATTGGTATTCTGTCAATTCCCAGAGCCTTGTTTTTTGCCAATGCCTTCAGTGCAGTTTGGACTTCTTCCTTCAGTACCATCAGTTCTTGATCATATGCTACCTCCTGAAATAGTTGAACATCAACCAATTCTTTTTGACAGTGCGCCTCTGTGTATGCCTTCCATCTTTTTTTCATGCTTCCTGTGTTGTTCAATATTTTGCTTATAGAATCCTTCAATATTGCAACTTGAGTCTTGAATTTTTTCTTCAGTTCTTTCAGCTTGAGAAATGCCAAGCATGTTCTTCCCTTTTGGTTTTCTAACTCCATTTCATTATAATACTTTGTCTTCTCAAGTCACCCTTTTAAATGTTCTGTTCAGCAAAGTAGAGCGTCAGTGAAAAAGAGGAAGACTCTCAATGAGATGGATACAGTGGCTGCAACAATGGGCTCAAACATAGCAACAATTGTGAGGATGGCACAGGACTTGGCAGTGTTTCATTCTGTTGTACACAGGGTTGCTATGAGTCAGAACTGACTCAATGGCACCTAACAATAACAACTTTACTAAGTGTGACGTCTTTCTCAGGGACTGGTCCCTCCTAATAACATGTCCAAAGTATGTGAGACAGAGTCTCACCATCCTCTCATCTAGGGTGCATTCTGGCTGTACTTCTTCCAAGACAGATTTGTTGAAATATCTAGAGAAGGCAAATGTATAGAGACTGAAGTTTATTGGTGGTTACCAGGGGTGGGTGGGATGGAGAAAAGGAGAGTTATTGCTTAAGAAGCACTGAGTTTCTGTTAAATGTAACAAAAAAATTTGAGAATGGTTAGTGGTGATGGTTACATAGCATGGTGAATATTATTAATGTCACTGAGTTGTACACGAAAAAAATGTTGAAACGATAAATGTTATATATATTTTTTACCACAATAAAAAAAAGAGTGAATTATGGCTCATATCACCTCTTCTGTCTCTGGGCATTTGTTGCCCTAGGTCCAAGGAATTGATAACATCAGGCAAATTCAACTTAGTCTTTCTGTGTGCGACTGAATACACCAGACATCACCATCAGACTATCATACTGTTGAAAGCTTTACTTATTTATACTGGGTGTTATAAAAAAAAATTCTTACAGGATGGATGAAAATTTCAAGAGTTGGCAAAAATATCATTCTTTGAAAAGTATAATTTTACATAAGGAGTAGGAGGTTAAGAGCACAAGCTCTGAAGACAAACTGCTTGGATCCAATTCCCAGTCCTGCGTTCACACCAGTCATGTAATCACACTCAGTCTTCTTATCACCTAAGGTACTCATGGACATGTGCCCAGTGCATGTAAGTGTGCATGCAGTAAGTGCTGGGCATTTTATTAAGTTCAAACAGTACCACTACAGATTTCAGAGATGGACATTGTTTATGCATCTTCACAGTTAAGTAGATGCCACAGTGAATGTTTTCAATCAAGAGAACTTTGGGAACAATTATGAGAATGGCAAAGGAACGGACTTCCTGTAGCACTCAGACATAAATGTTAAAGGAGCCTATTTCATAATATAATGGTTTCTGAGCTCCCAGAGAACTGAATTAGGGAGGCAGGGCAAGGAAGATGGCAGATTAGCAAACCCTCCCACCACTGTGCATGCTGACCTTGGGGGGATGCCTCCTCCCACCTGTTGTTGTTGTTGGGTGCTGTGGAGTCGACTCCAACTTACAGAGTCCCTATTTGACAAAGCAGAACTGCCCCATAGGGTTTTCTTGGTTGCAATCTTTACAGAAGCAGATTGCCAGATCTTTCTCCTGTGGAGCTTCTGAGTAAATTCAAACTGCCAACATTTTGGTTAGCAGCTGAGTGCTTAACCACTGTGCCACTAGGGTTCCTTCCTTTCACCTGTGGAACTTGTTAAATCTGCACTTTATTTTCCAGGTTAGCTGGAGACAGGAAGCTTGAATGATTCCACTCTGCCCTCCCAAGCCTGTTTGAAATTTCTATCTCCTTTGACCTTATTCATACATACAAACATTTCTGCTTGCACACGTTTTGATTTCCTACTTGCCTAGAGAAGGAGACCTGGTGGCACAATGGTTAAGTGCTCAGCTGCTAACTGAAAGTGCTGGTGGGTTGGAACCCACCAGTGGTTCCAAAAGAGAAAAGACCTGGTGATCTGCTCCAGTCAAGATTACAGCCTAGGAAACCCTATGGGGGCAGTTCTACTCTGTCTATAGGGTCCCTATGAGTTGGAATCGACTTAAAGCACACATTTTGCCTAAACATTTTAGCTGAGATAAGTTTAAATGTTTATGTGTCCTGTACACTTTGCTCTCTGTATGCTCTGAGTCAAAATACATGAAAAATACTTTGTTTTGCCTTTCTCTCTGCCTTCCGTTTTCTATATAACCTTTCAGCTTGCTTTTGTTTGGGGAGCACGTCATGGTCCCACTGGGACCAGGCTGCCTGGTTCATGAATCTTTCTGAAACCAAATAAATACTTTAATTTTAGCTTTGTCAGAATTTTCTTTTAACAAACCCAAAATCATCCATTTGGCTCAATCTCTATATCTTGATCACCAAGAAGAATTCACTCTTCTATTTAAAATGTTTGTTGTTCATACTTGTCCACCAACAGGTAAACAACAACAGAAAAGCTCTCCAGGTGTTCCACTAAACAGGTAAACAACAACAGAAAAGCTCTCTAGGTGTTCTATGTTCACCTGAAAACCATCTGCCAGTAAAGTACTTTGATGGCAGGCTCATTTACTGCACTCAAATTACACAAACAATGTAAGGGGTAAAGGAGTACAACACATAGAAAACACCAGCATCACATACTTCCCAAACTTTACACTCACATTATTAAAATAAACTATAAAAAAGGATGTGGTAGGGAACAAACCATGGCATAATTTCTTCTTCCTCAAAGGAATTCACAATAGTCATTAATATTTACTCCCCTGTGAGGTTCACTGTTGTAATTTTCATCATCCAAAAAGGAAGTTCTGCCCTTGAAAACATCCAAAACTATACTATTATGTTGTGGCATTAGCAGCATCCTCAGTACTGGGTCAAACAGCCAAACAGCTTGTTCTATGTACAAAGTTGACAGTCCATTAATAGTACAACAATAGGATATTTCATCATTACCAGGCCTCCCGGGAGGGTCCCCACATGCTTTACCCAGTGGGTCCTGAGAACAACACACTCACAGCTAAGCAAGGTATGGGCACAACTAGGTAGGAAGGCACCAGAGTACAAAAGTAGTTTCCGGAATTAGAATCTTTCTGCAATTCACACAACACATCAGATAAACGAGGTATATTTTTTCCAGAAGAAATCAAAGTTAGTTGATCTCTTTATCACTCAGCAGATAAGTATGGAGACCTACTAGGTACCAGGCTTTGCACCCCTTGCTCTTTGAGAAGTGGTTTTAGAAAGAATAATTCTGAAGCTGTAGTGGTGGCACAACAGCTGCTAACCGTAAGGTTGGTGGTTCAGATCCATCCAGCAGCTTCACGAGACAAAGACCTGGCAGTATGCTTCCATAAAGATTACAGCCAAGAAAATCCTATGGGGCAGTCCTACTCTGTCACATGGAGTCACTATGAGTCAGAATCAATTCAACAGCACCCAACAACAACAGAATATACATATGCCAGCTTTATTTAACATTTTCCTTTTTAAAACTATAGATTCAGATCTGACTATACAATTGCATAGTTGTAAGTACTTTTCTTCTTCTGCAGAATTATAAACCCTTCCTCTGGAGTGGACTATGTATGAAATATAAATTGCAAAAAGGTAAATTCTTCTGTTGTTTTCATTAGAAATTTAACTTCAGTCCTGTTTCTATCATAAACTATTTTCAAGAACTATAAAACTATTCCATAAAAAGCTATTTTTGGTCTTCTTGCTTTACCAATAGGTAAAATTTTAATCAGCAGCAAACCAAAAGACTAGCTTGTGTTTTTAACATAAAGCTGTTGACTTTAATTATTGAGAGTTCAACTTTGGTTAGGATTCACACAAAAGGTCAAGAGGAGAAAAATTGTAAGAAAACAGACCCTTTCTCTGCTTAAATTCACAAATGGCAGATTCACAGTGGGTTGGACAGAGAAGGCAGGCATCTTCAGAACCTCAGGAGAATTTCTGACTGAGATCATGGAGAGTTTCTCCATAAGACATTCATCAGTTCAAAATTCTGGGGTGGAGGGAGCACTGGGCTTGTCCGATGTGGCATTTCTCCTGTTCTTAGGGTCTCTGCTCATCTTTTGATTATTAAGCTATCAATAAAGGCCAGAAACAGTCATACTTAATATAAGCCTTGAACGAGACCCCTCATTCTCTGTGGTTCTTTCTGTTTCAGATAGTGTGATGTCGTCTCTGAGATTGTTCCTGAAGATAAAGGACTGGGGATGGCCAGGCCAGCACAGGATCCACAACAGAGCTATACTTAGACAGCATGTAGAACATGTGTAAGGCAGAGATTCTCTACCTCTAGTGGGCATCAAAACCACTGATGTACCTGTCCAAACACTCAGGTGCTTGAATCCCATTCCCTACATCCAAAAGTAGGGCTTCAGGCAGGTGCATCTTAGCAAAGCTTAACCAGCCATTCTCATTATGCGCTAGAGAGAAACTTAGGTGTAATGTTCCTGCCAGGTGCACTCACGGCCTTTACTGTGCATGGCTGGAGATGACTGATAAATGGTGTACTTTATAAGATCTTCATTTTAAGAATTCTTTCCTTTGGTCACCCTGGGTGAAGACTGCCCTGCAACAGACACCCATAAACTGTCAATTCCCTTTGTAACTAAAGTTAGGATTTTTAATGGATTCTTGTTTTTCACACTTTGCTTCTCTTATGTGCTAAAGCTAGGATGTCCTTTTTGACTTCCTATTTGTAGTTAGTTTGATGAAATATTCTCTGGCTTTAGTGCTGCTGATCTCTTGTTTTGTAGATAAAGGAATTCATACGTTCTAAAAAAAAAAGATGATACTGAAAATATTCATCTTAACTTCTGATAAAAAGAAAAAAAAACTTGATTTTAATTTTCTATTGATTTTTACCAAACTTTTAAGCTTTAGTTTTTGAAACAGAGTTAACAACTCCTTTCCTAAGTTACTAACATCCAGGTTTTCTCAAAGCCTCAAAGAGACGCGCAAAATATCACACTGTTGAATTCCTTATGACTTAGCTTCTTCAGTGTTTCTCTGCAGAGGAGCCAGGATAACTCCAGCATTCCTGTCTTCACTCTCCGAGCTGTACAAATTATGTTTCTCGATGTATTCCTGGACGAGATCTGGCACCAAGTAGCGGATGCTCTGGCCCCTTCGGAGGGCTCGCCGGATCTTCGTGGACGAGATGTCATTGGTGATCCACTCGTTTACCAGATGAATGTTGCTCCGGTGTTTCCACAGCACATCAGATTCATAGATGAATTTCTGAGCATCATTTCCAGCCCGAGTAATACAGATGAGCCCGTAGCCTCCCACAATTTGGGCAATATCCTCGCTCTTCCACAAACTGGGAATGCCAAAAGACTCCAATAAGTCTGCCCCACAAAGCAACTTCACCTCTGGCATACCTGGGGAGAAGAATAAAATGGTGTCGGTCTTTGCTTTTCTAATAGCTCCCTGCCTCAAAACGAATGCGTGTGTCCATGGTTTCCTGGAAAGAGCATCCACAGCTTTTATTAAAATCAGATTCCCAAAAGAGACTAAGGACACTTCAAAAGTAAAGAACTACCATAGGAGAAATAAGCTCAGAGCAACTTATGCTCCCCTTCCTTCATAAAACGGACAAGGAGCATTTCTCAGGAGTCCACATATATTGAATATGAAATGAAAATACAAAGAAGGTTGACTCAGCCCTTTCTGTTGTTGTTGCTGGGTGCTGTAGAGTGGATTCTGACTCATAGGAACCCTATGTGACAGAGCAGAACTGCTCCATAGGGTTTTCTTGGCTGTAATCTCTATGCGAGCAGATCACTATGTCTTTCTCCTGCAGAGCCACCTTAGAATCTTATAAACTCTAGCCTGTAAGTCCTGGTAAAACACACAAACCTTTCATTTTTGGCTGTGGGGATTTCTTTTGACTAAAATCTTGTCTTTGCTCAGTCCACTTCCTCTTTCGTCCAGGCCTTTCCAGAGTAGGTGAGTCCTGCCGGTTATCACAGTTACTAGCCTCCAGTTTCTCTTGATGGTGTCTATAAAACAACAAAACAATAGACCGTTCCTCCTTCTCACAGTGCTCAGATGACGTATCATCCCTCTGCAGATGCCTAAGAACCTCTGACCCAATGCGAAAGGCAGAACGAGATTCAAAATGTTTAACCTCTGGTACCCCTAGACACCGCCACCACCCCACCTGTCAGCTTGTCATACTGTGGTGGCTTCAATGTTGCTGTGATGCTGGAAACTATGGCACAGGTATTTCAAATACCAGCAGAGTCACCCATGGTGGACAGGTTTCAGTAGAGCTTCCAGACTAAGAAAGACTAGAAAGAAAGGCCTGCCAATCTATTTCTGAAAATTAGCCAGTGAAAACTCTATGGATCACAACAGAATACTGGCCGATATAGTGCTGGGAAATGAGCCCCCTAGGCTGGAAGGCACTCAAAATACACAGTGGTGGCAAGAAATGGACTTCAGCATACCAACAATTGTGAAGATGGTGCAGGACCGGGCAACGTTTGGTTCTATTGCATATGGAATGACCATCAGTCAAAGCTGACTCAACGGCAACTAACAACAGTCCCGAGACACCAGTCAGGATGGATGCCAGCTAGTATACCATGCTGGGTACTAGCTATCAGGGATAGAAAGCAATCCTGGGAGCACAACAAAAGTTAGCTATTATTATCCTAAGCTTTATGAAGGGAGGGACTATGTCTATGTCCTAATAACAAGAATTAACATTAATTATTTATTATGTGACAAGCACTACAGTATACCCTTTATACAGATTATCTGACTAAATCCTCTCAACATCCTGTGTTCATAAGAATTATTATCATTATTATCCCCATAATGGGATGAGAGACGGAATGGAGGCTTACAGTTCCAAGTCCAGTTCCCAGCACAGTCCCTGGAACACAGGGGGCATTCAGTAAAAATGTGATTGAATGAATGTTTTAGTTATGTTTGGTTATTATAAAGTAACTAGATTATTGCCACCATTACATCAGAACTGTTTATCATCCCCATTTAGAGAGCAAGATACTGACTATTTGCCTAAGGTCATTTAGCTTATAAATAGCAGAGCCAGGATTTGAACCTAGGCAGTTTGGTTCCATGGGTGAAAGATGTGGCATTCTGCTACCTGTAATCTTTATGATTACAGCCTTGGAAACCCTATGGGGCAGGTCTACTCTGTCCTATAGGGTCACTATGAGTTGGGATCGACTTGATGGCAACAGGTAGTCTGGTTCCAGAGCCCACACTCTCAATCCCTGAAGAGTGTGGCTTGGCCGGTAATGAAGAAAAGAGCAGTGTAAAGAACTACAATGCCAAGGATAAGGTCCAAGAGGGGGGACCACAGGTGGGATTTGTGTATGGTTTTATTCTGGGCTGGCAGCAGGAGATCCACTGCTTTACAACTGCACAGTTACCCAAGTAACACAAACTACACTTGTGGGATACAACTGCAAGTCCTCTGTGCCCCGAAATCCCTCCCCTCTTGAATGGCTGAGTTGAATATGCAATGGACAATAAGGTTACCATGAAGCCAGAGAGAATAGGGTAAGGCTGGGACCCAGGACCCTGCTCTCTGATGGGAGAATTTTGGGCCACCAGCCAGGGAAGAGTCTCTTCTCCCTGCCAAGCCTGCAGAGTAAGTCCTCTTCATAAGTCACTCACTTATCTATTTACATGCTAGATATTGTCTACTGGCTCAGTGTCCAATCCTATAGTAAACACATTTCCCAGGGGTCCTTGCAAGCAGTTCTGGGTGTGACTAAGATTCTGCCAATGACACTCGGGAGAGATTTGGAAGGCGGAAGAGCGGCAGTAGCCTTCTTTCTGTGGCTGTAGAGCCTGACAACCAATCCTTCACAGTGTGAGTGTGGAAGCCAGACTGCAGAGTCCACTGTCCAGCCTAAGATGGTGGAACAGCAGCTGTGCTGGTGGCAGAAGCAGGAATTTTCCTGAACTCCAACTGCAGCTAAGGAGGTGTGAGCTTGAAACAAAGAGCCAGAGGCAGCCCCCACTTGCACTCCTCCAGTGCTTTTAACAGTTTTGTATCAGCACCTAAATCTTCTTCTGTTTAAAACACACAGAATGGTTTCTATTTCCTACTCTGAACCCTCATTGATACAGTCAGTAACCAGAAGGTTCAGAACTCAAAGGACATCACACTTACTGGTCTGACAGAGACTGGAGAAGCCCCGAGACTATGGCCCCCGGACACCCTTTTAACTTAGAACTGAAGCCACTCTGGAAGTTCACTGTTCAGTCAAAGATTAGACAGGTCTATAAAATAAACAATAACACACTCAAGGAAAGGTCAATCATGTATCCAAGACCAAAAGGGCAACACCTGCCCAAAATCAATGACAAGAAGGCCAAAGGGGCAGGAAAAATGGATGGATGGAATCGGGGTGTGGAAGGGTAGAGTTTTGACACATCACAGGGATTGCAACCAATGTCGCAAAACAATTTGTGTATAAATTGTTGAATGAGAAACTAATCTGCTCTGTAAAGTTTCATCTAATGCACAATTAAAAAAAAACACAACTCTAAGGACAGACATAAGAAATGTCTGTTGAGAAAGCTCTTTTATTTTAGACTCAAGCTAATATTAAGCAATAATCAGATGTTACTTGCTCTGGTTTCAGAACCTTAATTGTGGAACAGCTTCAAAGATAGGAGCAGACAGACTGTCATGGGTGCAGCCACAAAAGGAGGTCTGTTCATGATCAAGTATCACAGCTTCTCTTCATTGAGTTACCTGCCTCTCTCTTCTATACCTAAGAAAACTGACGATGATAACATCCTATTACAACTTTTCCTTTCTCATTTGGGGCACAGACGGACAGGTCAGGCAGGCTTCCTCTGTTCTCATACAGAGACATCACACAGTAGCAAACATGCAAACATCTCAAACCATAAGGAAAATATAAAGGCTAAGGAACACCTTATGCTCTGTTTCCCTAAAAGAAAGGTGCTGTAGAGCCTCATAATAACCTTACATAGGAATGATGCAGCTTAAGCCTTCTCTAATACTACTGACAGTTTTACTGTATGTTCACAAGGGTCTTTTGGGTGGTGCAAACTGTTAATGCACTTGGCTGCTAACCCAAAGGTTGGCAATTTGAGTTCACCCAGAGGCACTTTGGAAGAAAGTCCTGGCAATCCACTTCTGAAAACTCAGCCATTGAAAACCCTATGGAGCACGGTTCTACTCTGACACACACGGGGTCCTAATGAGTTGGAGTTGACTTGATGGCAACTGACTTTATGTTCACAGATGCAGGCAGCATTAAAACATGGCAAAAAGCCAAGAAGCTCCCCAACCCGTTTCCATACAGGTGAGAATAAATACCTTAGCACTTTAGCAGTCTCTACCCACTCGCTCTGAAGACTTTCCCATGTGTCAACTTCCACCCATTTTGAATTCTTGGTGGCGAGCTCTGCCATGATAACCCGGTGATGGGCGGGGATGAGTCCTTTCTTCTTGTACGCATCTCCAACAGGAGAAATGATGCCTTTGATAACTCTATATTTTCCTGGGTAAAGAATTAAATTTGATATAGGTATAACAAATAAGATTTTATACATAGAAAACTTTACAATCAATACTATTTTATAATCATAGATCTCCCTTTCTTAACCTTTTAGTTCTGTAAAAGTAATTTTTATTACCAGTTAAAAAGAACAAGCAATAGTTTGTTTGCTTTTAATAAGTCTTAGTTCAAAGAGTATTAGAACCTACAAAATGATAGTGAAGTGATGACAGTGCTAATAGTTCTTTAACTCTACCCGACACTCCTCTGGTGAGGTTGAAGTTTACAAGTCCTCCTTTCTAAAGTATCATATTTTTGGTCCTATGAAGACCCCTGTTATTTTCCAGTGTGAATACTGTGTAAAAAATTGGTTTTCTCCCTTTTGTTCCAAGAACAGGCTCCTTGGCCAGAGGCATTCCTGTCATACTCATATCTGCTTGGACTTAGTTATCCAAAGGGCAAGCTTTCCTCCAGACCCCTCACTTGGTCTTCCAGCCAGAAACTTCAGAATTTTATGTGGGCACTTAGATACGCCTGTAAATGAACATGGGTGCTCACCATCCCTTACATGAGCATCAACACAGAACTCTACTCAACCTACACCTACCTGTGCAACCAAGACACAGATGGCCACATAAAATAGTGTTCACCCCGCAACAGAGCACTAGGTGCTTCGGGATCTTCAGTTGTCCAGGTAAAGAGACTTTCTGGAAATGTTTGAGTTTCTACTAACGAGATAGGAAAATGCAGGCTTGTAACTCTTATCTGTTTAAAGAGCTACTGATATTCTGGACTTGCAGGAATCCATAAGGGAAGCTCCAAGTGTCCAGGATGATAAAGGATACATACACATATTTATTCTTTGGTATGGCTGGAATACACAGTAGGGAGTAGGGATGAAAGATGAGATGAGGAATAATATGGCAGACTAGGTTATCAGAGGATCCCTGGTGGCACCAGTGGTTAAGCATTCGGCTGCTAACCAAAAGGCAGGCAGTTTGAATCTACCAGCTGCTCCTTGGAAACCCTATGGGGCAGTTCTACTCTGACCTACAGGGTTGCTATGAGCTGGAATCGACTCAACAGCAATGGGTTTGGTTTTTTGGTTTTAGGTTATCAGAACAAACCTCCCCACTGAAAAGGCTAATGAACTACAAAAATTATCTTATTAAGTAATGAAGAACTGACAAGATTACAGAATTGCCTGAAATTAAACAACCAAAAACTAAACACATTGCTGTAGAGTTGATTCCAACTCATGGCAAACCCATGTGTTACAAAGCAGAACTGCTCCATAGGGTTTTCTTGGCTGTAATCTTTAAGGAAGCAGATTGCCAGCCCGTTCTCCTGCAGTGCTGCCACATGGGTTTGAACTGCCAACCATTAGGTTAGTAGGTGAGCACAAACTGCGCCACCCAGGGCCCTTGGCCTGAAATTACCTGGGCAAAATCTAAGAAAAATAGGGAACTCAGAAGAGTAAGTAAATCACCAAAGCCACTTTTGACCTAAATCCTGTTTTTGAACATAGGAACTTAAGCTTTAGTTTTGACTGCATCATGGAACACGAGGAACTGGAAGCCCATGGCCCACCTAAGAGGGGAGTCTAATAGGACACCCCTCTCCCATTCAGCTAGGACCAAAAGGGGCAAAATCCTCTGGATAAGAGTGAACCAGAAGCCAATCTCCCCTACCTCCAAGGAACTGTAGGGAAGGCTATCTTGGGGCTAAGCAAAATGAGGGGAAACAAACAAAAAAAAACCGTTTCTGAGATTTTGTAACTATAAGTCAGATTTAGCATGGATTTACAGGGCAAACCTCACCTAGATGATCAAAAAACCTCAATTCATGAATTTATAGTGGTCCTAGACTGATAATGCCCCCAGGTGCCTGGAAGAAGCAAATAATTTTCTAAGGAAAATGAGCAGCTCAAAAACTAAGAAAGCACACACACACAAAAATGCAACATGAGCAAGAATAAGCAGAAATAATAGGCAGTAGAGTAAGACCACCAAGACTAGATACTGAAATTACCCACAACAGACTATAAAATAACTAAATTTAAAGAAATAAAAGCTAAGCTTGAAAGTATCTGCTAGCACAGGAAACTATAAAATATAACCTAGCAGATTTGAGGAATGCCAAATAGAACCTCTAGTAATAAAAAGTCTAATAACTGAAATTAAAAACTCAGTAGTCAGGATTAACAACAGATTAGGTACAACTGAAGACAAGACTGGTAATAAGAAGTTATCCAGAATGCAGCACAGAAATAGAGTTAACGTGTTCTCATGTCTTAGTATTTTCCCAGAGATGTCTAAAGAGATGGAAAATCTAAATATGGCTAAGAGATACAAAGGATAAAATAAGAATTCCAGAAATAGAAGAAAGAGATAGGGTAGAGGCAATATCTAAAAGGATAATGGCTGAGATTTTTCCAAAATCCAACAAATCCCAGGATGGTAAATAAAAAAAGATCTCTACCTAACCACATCATTAATGAAACACCAAAGATAAAAAGAAAACCATAAAAACAATCAGAGGAAAAAAGACAGATTACCTCCAAAGAAGCAGTAGTTACACTGACAGCTAATTTCTTAATAGTAACAATGGCAGCCAGAAGACAGTAGAATGATACCTACGAGAGCTGGAAAAAAAATAACTGAAGTATTTTTCAAGAGTGACAGTAAAATAAAGAAAAAACTGAAGGAGTCTGTGGCTAGCAGACCTCACTAAAGGTAATTCTAAAGAATATATTTCAGGCAAAATAAGTGATCTCAGATGGAATAGATAAGCTATAAGGAGAAATAAAGAATAAAAAAACAAGAAAATATCTGAGAAAATTTTAAAAAGGTAACAATTATTTGAAGGGACAAAAAAAAAGAGAGAGACATAATTAAAACACTTGACAACAGTAACATATAAGTCAGGTGGTTAGAAAATAGAGTCAATGTGTTCTCATGTCTTAGTATTTTCCCAGACACATCTAAAAGTATTATTTAACTTTAGGGTTTATTATTAGGTTATGCCCATTGTACTTTACAGGTAACTACTAAAAGAAAAGAAACAATGTATAAATTCCAAACTAGCAAAAGGAGAAAAGTAAAATTATTAAAAAATAATCCAAAAGAAGGCAAGAAAGGAGAAAAAAATGAAACCTACTACAGACAAACAAATAGAAATTTAAAAATAAGATAGTAGATAAAAACACAATAACAACAATATAAATGATTTCTACAAATCTAATGTTGAACAAATGAAGACAGAAAAGTATGCATATGTATAATTCCATTTACATAAAGTTCAACAGGCAAAACTGAACTATTGTTAAGGAACGCATACATGGGTAGTAAAACTCTAAACAAAAGTAGAAAAATGATCAGCAGAAATATGAGGAGAGCAGAGCTGCCTCTAGGGGTGAGGTCCATAAAAACCCATTGTCACTGAGTAGATTTCAACTCATAGCAACACTACAGGACAGAGTAGAACTGCCCCCATAGGGTTTCTAAGGCTGTAAATCTTTATGGAAACAGACTGCCACATCTTTCTTCCATGGAGTGGCTGGTGGGTTGGAACTGCCAACCTTTCAGTTAGCAGCTGAGCTAACCACTGTACCACCAGGGCTTCTTAGGGAGCAAGGTAGTGGGTTGCAATTGGGAAGGGGCCTATGACTGGGGGGCTCCTGGTATGCTGGCAGTGTTCTTTTCTTGACTTGATGGCAGTTAATTAGATGTTCATAATTATCTATACCATTTAAGCACTCTTCTACGTGTTAGATAAACCTAACAATTAAAAAAAATAAATTTTAAATAAGAAAGATTAAAAGAGGTGAAGTGAACCAGCATACGGACTGAGCATATTCATCTTTGTACTCACTAAAAATTCCATGAAATGACAGAATAGATATTTAAAGAGAAGAATAAACCCATAATAGTGCTGGAAAAGCAAGAAAGAGCATCACTGATAGCTCAGAAATTTTGAGGAATTCCAGAAAGACAGAAAGCAGTTAGGATCATCTTTAATGGAAAACAAAAATGGGTAAAACCAAATAACAGTTTCCAAAAATGGCAGCTAAAGTCAAGGAATAAAAGCATCAGCAGTGGACTCTGAGGCAAATGTCTTGGTGACTAATTCTGGAGAAGCCAAGCAGGTTGGTCTCTTTTCCCTTCCCTGCTAGTGTTAAAACAAATAGCCTCCACAGACAAAGGACTAGAGAACCTTATATTCCAAGAAAAGGAAGCAATCAAAAAGATCAACACAGCAAAACAGAAGTAAAAATCAACATGACACAAGAGTGAATACTAAGCAGAATTAGTAGAAAGAAAAGTCTGCAAAAGAAACATAAATGAATGTTATTATATTCATAACAAGAAGATGCATGAAAAAGAACTAATTTGAGATCTTGGAAATAAAAAATGGCCAAAAACATTAATAGAATGGGCTAAGCAGTAGACTAGATAAACCTAGAGAAGGTTTAATGAGCTAAATAATCAACCTGAAGAATTCTCCCAGAATGAAGCATGTGGTAGATTACTACAGTAATGACCTTCAGTTTGTTCATGCCCCTCTGCATTCCACACCCTTGAATATTCCTTCCCACACTGACCCTAGAAGTGGTTTTGTATTTTGCTTTGGTCAATGAAACAATAGCAAATGTGATACAAGCAGAGGCTTCCCATGGGGCATCCCTTGTTTTTCTGATGGGAACTCTGTAGTACCATGTAAATAAGCTGGAGACAAGTAATCCAGTCAACACCAACTGACAGCTGGGACCAAAAGACAAACAGATAAGTGAGGCCATCCTAGACCAACCAGCTCACAGCCAACCTCTCAGCTGACTACAGTTGTACAGTAATCCTCCGCGAGACCAGCAGAACACCCCAGTGAACCTCAGCCCAAATTACTGGTCCACAGAATCACGTGCTAACAAATGATGGTTGTTTTCATCCACTATGTTTCAGGGAGATTTGTTAAGCAGCAAAAGCTAACACAAAAGCACAAAGAGCTGGAAAGCATGAGACAAAAGAGAGGTGAGCTAAAGGATCAATCCAAGAGGTCCAACATCTGTTTAATAGGGGATCCAGAAAGAAGACAGAAAAAAAGAGCAAAGAAAATAATCAAATAAAGAATAAAAGAAAATTACCCAAATTGAAAAAGTATGTCTTTCATTTGAAATAGCTCACTGAGTATCAAGTAGGATGCATGAAAAAAGACCACTTAGATATAGTATGGTGAAATTTTAAAATATTAGCAAAGAGGAAATCATAAAATTTTCCAGTATGAGAAAAAAAACAAACAGATCACCAACAAAGGAACAAGAATCAGACAGGCATGAGAGTTTTCTTTGGTAAGCACTGAATGTTAAGCTACCACTAAGCAGTATTTTCAAAATTCGGAGGGCAAATTAGCCTTAAACGCTTATATAAGAAAAGATGATTGAAAATTAGTGAGGAAAAAATTTCAATTTAAAAGAAAAATAGCAAATCCAAAGAAATAAGAGAAAGAAAATAATAAAACAAAGAGCAGAGCTTAATAAAAAAAAAATACAAAGAGGATCAATAAAAGGAAACCTGGTTCTTTATAAAGATTATAAATATACCATTAGGTATACAGCCTCTCTTTGACAAGCTGAGAGAATATATGCACCACATATATATCAAAGGAATCACATGCAGAATATATAAAACATCTTTTATAAATCACTAAGAAAACGGAATCATTCGGAAATAGATAAAAGATATCAGTAGTCAATTAAGAAAATTATAAGTGGCTATTATGCTCTAATCATATGCCCTATATCCTTAATTATGCCCACACAACTACCCTTTCTCCCTCTAGGATAGATTCCTACAAGTGAAATTGCTGAATTAAAGGGTATGTACAGTTTTTTTGATTGATATTGGCAAATTGCCTTGTAAAAAGCCTTAATCAATTTGTATTGTCCACCTACAGTGTATGCTAGAGCCCATTTCTCCTCAACCTCTGATCCTTGATGTTATCATATTTAAAATTTTTGCCAATCTGATGGACAAAAATATCTTATTATTAGGAATTAAGCATCTATCTATAATGCATACAACATGATTCCATTTATATAATGAATCAAATCTGTGTGTATATATAAAAATTTGTATGTAAATTCATAGAAAACAAAAGACCGAAAGGATACATTTTAAAGTATTAACAGTGATTGCCTCCAGAGTTGGGAATAAGAGGTGAGCATTTTATATACATTACACACATACCTACTCTTTTACATACATATTTAATCTTTTGTAATGAGCATATACATCATGGGAGCCCTGGTGGTGCAGTGGTTAAGCATTTGGCTGCTAACCAAAAGGTCGTTAGTTCAAATCCACCAGTCACTCCTTGGAAACCTTACGGGGCAGTTCTACTCTGTTCTATAGGGTTGGCTATGAGTTGGAATTGACTCGATGGCAATGGGTTTGGTTTATATATATATATATATAATGATTATGAAGAAATTTGGAAACAGGTGAATATAATATACATAATAAATGGTTTATTGATTTTATATTACAATATATGCAAAATAATATTATGTTTACATATTTTCTGAACACCCTTTATTCATGTGTTGTTTATGAAAACTTTAAAAATTGACATAAAAGAAAGGTAGATCGCAGCCAATCCTGAAGGTCTTATGTTTACCAGACTAAGAGTTTTAGCTTTCTGCCTTAAGTAATAGGAAGCTCCTGAAATAGGGAATGAGAGAATTGAATTTTTGTTTTAGAAAAATCACTCTGGAATGATGTAGAAGAAAAGCTAGCAGAGAGGAGAAAGAGACTGAAGTCAGGAAGATCAGGTACAACACTGTTGCAACAAGTCTAGCTAGATGTGGATTTAACATCAAGCAGCAAAATGCTTTCTTTGGTTTAACTTCCATTGCACCACTAACACTCTCTTGCTTCACTACATACAAAGATGACTGAGAAAAAGAAACAGCATTCATTTAGACATACAGGTATAAACGTGTTATGTAAGTGAATCCCTGGGTAAAGTAGAATTATATAAAAACAATGAAGACAAATCCTTATGAAACAAAGAAATTAGTTTTAGGTATTGAAAAATCATTATTGCTCCTTCTACTGTAGTTTAGAACATTTTTTTTTTCCCTTTTTTCTTTTTTATACACTGTAGGTCATTAAGGAACCTTGGTAGAGCAATGGTTAAGTGCTTGGCTGCTAACTGAAAGGCTGGCAGTTCAAACCCACCAGCCGCTTTCCAGGAGAAAGATGTGGCAATCTGCTTCTGTACAACCTTGGAAACCTTCTGGGACAGTTCTAATCTGTCCTGTAGGGTCACTTGAGTCAGAATTGACTCAATGACAATGAGTTTTTTGAGTTTAAAGGCCATTAGCCAGATACTTAATTCCTCAGTGGACATATTTCATCCTCTTCCTTTGGCTAAGTCCCTGAATAAGGAAGCAGGCAGCACATTTTTGCTCGTTTGACCAAACATGTACTGAAACAGACCCAGCCATTTTGGTTCTCTAGTCTTAAGTTGCTTTTGGATACTGTTCCTACCTGTTCCATTCATGTAGTCCTTAGCCAGCTCAAACAACCTGAGGTGCATGTTGGTGATGGGATTAAAGGAACCACAAGCAAGGAGAACCACCTCTGTCTTCTCCGAATTTTCCATGGTAAGAATTTGAAGTTGCTGATCTAAATGGAAATCTCTGACATCTTCCTTGTTGTCTACAAAGGAAAAAGAAATTAAATTCAGTCACTGATCTTTTGATGTCTTTCTATATTCTCATTCCAAATAGATCGATAAACACATTTGGCTTCAATGACTGTGCAAGATCGATTACAAAAATGACCTAATCCTCCATGTCTCATTTTCAATGTGAATTTGCAGATACTACCATAAAGGGATGGCATCTACACCCTTTGTGATTTGCTTTGGCCAAAAGAATGTATTAAGGTATGCCAATTCTGATCCCAGAACTTAGAGGGTCCGTATACTTCCAGTCACTTTTGTCCCCCTGCCTCTGTCATGAGAACAAGCCCAGGCTAGCCTGTGACAGGATGACAAAACATGTGGAAGAGAGTTGAGGTGACCGCTGAGACACAGCCAATCACTTGATATATGACTGAGGCCATCCTAGACCAGCCAACCCATGGCCAACCTGCTCAGCCGCACCAACAGGCCCAGGTGAGATAAGCTGAGACTGGCCCACATCAGCAAACTCACAAGCTGACCATAGACTCATGAGCAAAAATGAGTATTTACAGTCATGATTACACTCTTGCAGCAGCAATTAGTTGATACAATGACATTATGATTTACCAAATGCAGTTCTCCAACAATTTGCCCTTCATAAGGGTATTCTGCCTCTTAGTCAACATGATCATACTACACTTTCCACTGAATAATAGTTTACAATTTACAAACTGTTTTTCATATCCACTATCCCATATGAACCTACTATAACCCTAATGAAATAACAAAAGACATCTAATTAAAATTTTTACAAAACTAATTCATGTATACAAATTTAAAAATCACAGGGCAACAAAAGGGCCCATAATGAAACCCGACAGACATCAACCATATCCATCTCACCAACCAACCTCCTTGCCCCTGTTCAGCTCCCTGAAGACAATCACTCTTAACTTTTTCAATTATTTCTTCTGGTAGATTCTGCCATATTCTAAATTATGTACTCATATTGTTATTTCTTAATTTATCCAATTTGAACAGTGTTTACTGACCTTCTTTCATGATCTATGAGGATTACCTTTCATAGTCCTCTACCTCCCCTTTCCAAACTTCACAATATAACTTATCTCTAGTCTATGTTAAAATCATCTTCCCCCAGAATTTTGAAGGCACTGCTTCTAGATTTCAGAGTTAATTAATACTGAGAAGTCCAAAGGCACTTCCAATTCCAGATCTTTGTATGTGACTTATTTTTTTTTTCTCCCTTGAAGCTTGTAAGTTCTTCTCTTTGTCCCCAAAACCAAAACCAAACCCATTGCCATCGAGTTGATTCCGACTCATAGTGACCCTACAGGACAAAGTAGAACTGCCCCATAGAGTTTTCAAGGAGTGGCTGATGGATTCAAACTGCTGACCTTTTGCTTAGCAGTCTGAGCTCTTAACCACTATGCCACCAGGGTTTGTCCCCAATGTTCTGAAAATTTACAATGATGTCCTCTAGTGTGCATCTATTTCATCCATTGTGCTGGACACTCAGCAGGCCCTTTCAATCTTGAAACTTACAACCTTCAGTTCTGAAAAATTTCCTTGAAACATTTCATTGATGACTTTCTGCCTCCCATTTTCAGTTTTCAGAAATGCCTATTATTTGAAGTTAAAGCACCTAGACTAGTCTTCTAGTTTTCTTATCTTTTCTACGTTCCAACTCTTGCCTTCATGCTCTAATTTCTAAATATTCTCAGCTTCATTTTCCAATCCTTCTGTTTTTCATTTTTGCTAGTATATTCTTAATTTCCAAGAGCTCACGTCCTCTTTGTCCTGACTGCTCCTTTTTATGGCATCTTGTTCTTGTTCCTATGACAGGCTATTCATTTGTAGCCCGATAGTGCTCAAACCCAACTGCTGGGTTGACCAACTTGCTTTTGTTCAGATAGGATGCTGTCAGTCCAGTGGACAAAGCTGGTGAGAGGTGAACCAGGGCTAGAGTTTAGGTTTCCTGACTCCTAGGCTCTCTCTCGCCAAGAAGAGACATGGGTGATAAGCTGGAACAGGGTAGATTGGAAACGAGCTCTCATGGCTGAGGAGATGAGGAATATGAACTTAAATCTCTTAGGCAATGAGAATCTTTGAAAGTTTCTGAGCAAGAGAGTGACAACAGGGTTCCAGAAAAACAATGTCCTATAAAAATAATATGACATGGGTGTTCAAACCGCTTACTTGACTGTGTGAGCTTGATCTAATCACTTCCTGTGCCTTAAGTTTCCTTATCTGTAAAATGGGGATAATGACAGAACAAAACTCAGTTATTTTGAAAATTAATAATTTTGAGGAAAACACATGCAAAGTACTTAGCACATTACCTTGGCATAGTAAATGTTAAAAAGAATGGTAGCTGTTATTGATGAGGAAAGTCATGATACAGATGATAGTGATCATAAAGATCAAAAAAGACAGGAAAGCCCATTTCAAAGGAAGGAGAGACTCAATTTAAGTAGAGTCAGCAGGGATGGAAATAAGAAACATTTATTCAATAACTCTGAGGCCTTCTCCAAACAAAGCACAGTGGCAGGGATCACAGGAACACTGCTAATTGCAGATAAGAGAGAACAGACAGAAGAATCTGTGATGCTCAGCATTCCTCAAAAAGTTAAACATAGAGTTACCACATAGCCCACCAATTCCACTCCTAGGTACACTCCCAAAAGACCTGAAAGCAGGGACTCAAACAGATACCTGTACACCAATGTTCACTGCAGCATTATTCACAATAGTCAAAAAGTGGAAGCAACCCAAGTGTCCTCAACAGATGAATGGATAAATAAAATGTGGTATATCCATACAAATGAATATTATTCAGCCATAAGAAGAAACGAAGTCCTGATACATGCTACAACATAGATGAACCTTGAAAACATCACGCTGAGTGAAATAAGTCAGTCACAAAAGGACAAATACTGTATGATCTCACTTCTATGAAATATCTAGACTAGGCAAATGCATAGAGACAAAAGTTTATTTGTGGTTACCAGGGGTGGGGAAGATGGTGGTTTATTGCTTAAGGAGTACTGAGTTTCTTTTTGGGGTAATGAAAAACATTTGGAAATAGATAGTGATGAGGGTTTTACAACATTATGAATGTAATTAATATCATTGAATCGTACACTTAAAATGGTTAAAATGGCAAATTCTATGTCATATATTATCTTAGTTATCTAGTGCTGCTGTAACAGAAATACCACAAGTGGATGGCTTTAATAAAGAAATTTTTTCTCACAGTCTAGTAGGCTAGAAATCCAAAATCAGGGTCTCAGCTCCAGGGGAAGGCTTTCTCTCTCTGTTAGCTCTGGCGGAAGGTCCTTCTCAGTAATCTTCCCCTGGACTAGGAGCTTCTCTGCGCAGGAACCCCAGGTCCAAAGGACACGCTCTGCTCCGTGACGCTGCTTTCTTGGTGGTATGAGGTCCCCCAGTCTCTCTGCTCTCCTCTCTTTGCTATCTCAAAAGAGATTGGCTCAAGACACAATCCAATCTTGTAGATTGAGTCCTGTCTCATTAACATAACTGTTGCCTATGACACCTCATTAACATCACAGAGGTAGGATTTATAATACATAGGAAAATCACATCAGATGACCAAACAATGGACAATTACACAATACTGGGAATCATGGCCTAGCCAAACTGATATACATATTTTTGGAAGACATGATTCAATCCATGACATATATACTTTACCATAATAACATTTTTTTAGAAGTTTATCATGGCATTAAAAAAAAATTAGTTCATAGGTAAGACTTAAATGTTCCAACTGAAAGGATGGAGGTCTGAATCCACCTAGAGGTGCCTCAATAGAAACGCCTGGCAGTCTACGTCTGAAAAATTATCCATTGAAAACCCCATGGAGCACACTTCTACTCTGACACACAAGAGGTTGCTATAAGTTGGAATCGACTTGATAGCAACTGGTTAGTTGGTTAGAGAGAGCTTTATCCTAAGGATGACATCAGGGTCCACTTGGGGCTAGTTCCCACTGTTCCCATCCCTCTATCCCTTACTCCCATACAAAGTGCCTGTGGCATTATAGGGTAGTGGTGAACACAACATCCTCACAGTATCCTGGGCCCTACAGGGGAATCAGTGTATCCTGTCAGCCACCGAGCATGCTCTCAAAGACTAGGGTGGAGGGCTGGGTTCCAGCGTCAAGCCCAGCCCCGGCCACATCAGGTTCCTAGCACCATTCCCCAAGGGAGAGTGAGCTGGAAGAAAGGTAAGGCTGAGAGCAAGAGGTACCAGTCACAAAGGGAGCTGCAAGCAAGCCTGAAACAGTTCAGGGAATGATGGAACAAAGAGCTTCACACACCTCCCTGTCCTTGGGGATGAGCAGTGCCTCAGGTTTCCAGTCCTCCCCAGGTGATGGGGAGGAGCTGGGGGAAGCAGGTTTCTCAGCAGAAAGGGAGCTGTCTTTATCTCTTGCATATCCATGACCTGTCTCAAATATCCAGTTCAGTCTTATTAACTCACCATGAACACTGCCAACCTGAGCTCAGCCTGGACTCTAGACACTCCCAGAGAAGAGAAGAGTTATGTTACAGTGGGCGCCTACTTCAGCCCAGGGTGGGTTGACAAGAACAACGGTCTGTTCCTCTACAAGGAAGAGTACTTCCTCAGTATCCCTGCAGGGTGGGGGTATGTGTGCGTAGACAGAGGGGGGCACGGCAGGGGACGCATGGGTGTACAAAGTTTGGAAGCTCTAACAGGATCGTTCTGGACCCCCTTGTCTGACTGCAGGTGTTCCACAGGTGGTTCACCATGATACACTTCTGCCTGGCCCACACCACCCATTACGTGCACTGCTGGCTGCCCAGATCGCATCGGCTCAGGCTGTGTGTCTGCCCAGCCCACTACAACAAAAAGTGGTTTGTTTCCATTTAGATCTAGGATTCTATAGAAGAATCTTGATCAAAAAGGGAAAAATGAGGAACAGAATTTCAAATTCTCATGGAATCCAGACTTTCCTGAGCCATTAAGGCTGGATGAATCCCCAAAACTATTACCCTGAGGAAATTTTTAAATCTTGAACTGAAAGCATCCCCTGAAATCACCTTTGAACCAAATAACAGTTTAACCTAATTAGAAAAGATGTCTGCATTAAGTATCATATGCTTTTAAATTATCTATATGTGACCACATTGACAACAGCGACTCAAAAGGGTAGATGAGAAGCTTAGGGGGGTGGGGGAGAACAGTGAGTTTGTATTAACGATGACGAAATAGTTTGGAAAGGGTTGTTGACAGAGGTAGCATAACTTGAAGAACATAACCAATGTCACTGAATTGTACATATAGAAATTACTGAAGTGGTGTATGTTTTGTTGTGTGTATTTTCACCCCCCTCAAAAAAAAAGGAGTTCGTTTCTTCCTGAGGCAGTCTTAAAGTTTAACATTTAAAATTTGCTTTCAGTTTTAAAATCACCAAGCTTTTTGAAGTTTTGAAAACACTGAGGTGAAAACATTCATATAACATTATGTAAGCATTAAGCCAGTTTTTAAAACATTAAGTTTTTCAAAAAGAACAATAATTCTGTTTGGCTTTACCTGTCATATTTCACAATGCTCGGTATAATTAAATCTCTGTTGGTCAAACGTTAAATAACGTGACTGACTTGACAATCTCTCAGAATTTATACCCAGAAAGGATGCTATTTCTTTCAAGATAGGTATTTCAGGCATGTAACTATATACTTATTCTAACAATGGTGCCACTGCTTTAAATAGTCTGGGAGTATATTTTGAAATTTCATATTCGAGTACCTTCACCGGGGATAGATCTTTATTTCTAGAGGGTAGATTTGACATCTACACATACTCTAAAGTCAATAAGTGCTAAATACAATAAAATAAACAATCAAGGTGAATAATATAGTTATGGTGGGAAAAAAAGAGATATAGCTAACTGTTAATGACAAAAATTTTCTTATGTGCATGGAACTATGTACATGTAATCTCAAAAGAAAAATTTCAAAACTATTTTGAGGAGCAACAGCAACCTTCATTTGGTTGTTTAGGCAGCAGTAGGTGGAACAACTCTGTTCATTAGTTACATTCAATGTAAATCATCTGGCTGGAGGTATAGCTAGCTCAGCCTAGAGAAGTGGTAAAGACTCTCTCAGATCTGGGTTCAAATTCTATTTCTACCACCTACTACCTTTCTGAGTCTCAGTTTCCTCATTTATACAATGGGGGTAATATTAGTCCCATCTCAGGATTTTGAGCATATTAAATGAGATAATGCATATAAAATGTTTGACATTTGTCCACCAATTATGAATATTAGTAACTCTTAATATTGCTTGTGGGCTGTCTTATGGCATTAATTTACAGTAACAGTACAGGAACTAGGGTTCTAGAAACCAGTATCAACAGTGCCCGCCACACAGTAGGAGCTCAATAAATGGTAGTTATTATTATTATTATTACTGAAGATGTATCAGACTTAATTCTATTCGTTAATGGGCTGGATCTCAATTTGTCTCTGCTACGTTTAAAACGTTACCCCTGTGGTTTAATGTAACATTATCATGAACAGAACCTGAACTTGGTTTCTTGAAGCTGGTTTATCACTAAACAAGTAATGTAAAAATGCAATTGTGTGTGTGTCCCACATAGCCGGGTGACAGTGTTCTTGTTGGGGCTCACTGCTCTGGCTCTCCAGTTCTATGTCCTGCTAAGGTGAGTTCTTTCATCGGCCATCTCCCTCATTTGGCAGCTCAGCATGCAAGTGTCTTACTGTGGAAATGGTCTGAGTGCTCCCTGCGATTCCTGTTACACATTTAAGTGCCGCCTGCCCCATTGTTTTTGTCCCTATTATCAATGGCAGTCACCTGCTTCACCTCTTTGAAAAGTCAACTTTCTCAATGTCAGTGAGTACAGCTGGGATTTGGGCAGATTAAATTTTTAACCGACACTTATTTCTTCTAGTTTAAGAAGCCATTAAATGGGAGACAATGAGGGCACCAATGTTTCAATTTATGGATTCCCTAGAGACCAGTCCCAACAGCCAAGCATTAGCTAATGTCTGGAGGCATACTCAGTGAGCAGATTATGCCTTGAGACTTTATTTCAGAGTCTATGTTAGAAATTAGTCCTGGGCCAGAAAAAGTCAGTCAGCCACTAACTTGGTCATCGGGCAAATGAAGTCAATGCAGTTTGATACATGGGAAAGAAAAAAATGCACTTCTAAAAACCTGGAAATCCTAAAAAATCTAAGA